TGATTCGAATGAAAATTTAAAAATCTTCCTGAAAAAGTGGGCTTACGGTACCAATCAAAAACAAATTTTCTATTGCTGATAATTATTGTAGTATCTAAAAATTCTAATTTCTCTCCACCCAGTTCTAAAGTGAATTGAAGACGTGGATGGAATGAATTAAACTTTTCCAGTAAAATATCGATATTTGAAGGACGGACTGCAGTACAAATGTCATCGACGTATCTGTAGAAAAACGGTATGTCAACATTTAACGACATCAGTGACACCGTCTCCAATCTCCTCATTACTAAATCCGCGATCATAGGTGATAAGGGAGAGCCCATGGGAGTGCCGAAGCTCTGCTTATAAATTTTGTTATTAAATGTAAAAAATGTAGAATCTAAGATAAATTGTATTGCTACCAAAAACTCGTTTTTAGGCAATGAGCATCCCCTGGGAATGAAACCCCAATATTCGTTCACACAATCTACAGCTATGTCAGATGGAACATTCGTAAAAAGAGAGATAACATCTAAGGAAATTAATTTTTGATCCTTTTTAATTTCTATTCTTTTTAATTTATCGACTAATTGAAAGCTATTTTTAATATAACTGTCTGCCTTGGGGATAGTTTTGAATAAAATATTATGTACGAATGTGGATAATGCGTATAGGGGGCTGTCAATCGACGAAACGATAATTCTAAGAGGACACGCGGGTTTGTGAATCTTCGGCAATCCATAGACTCTCGGGAGTAATCCATCGCTACAGTATAATACTCTATATTTAGAATCGTTAATAAACTCGTTTCTCTTCCATCTAGTAAGCATAGATCTTAGCGATGTCGTAAGTTTTTTAATTGGATCTTTCTTGATAACTGTATATGTATTTGAGTCCTTCAGTAATGTGGTCATTTTATTGATATATGTGTCTTTGTCCATGGCTACTGTAACATTACCTTTGTCAGCGTGAGTAAAAATAATATTAGAGTGTGTCGATAAAAATTTGCAAGTGTCGGAATTTTAGGAGCTGTTTGTCAATAGGAGATGTGAAAGTACATTATCAGTTATAATTATCGCACAATGTTCGCTTTATACCGATATACCATATACAGCCATTTTCTATGGAAATATTTTAAAGTAATTTACACATGCCTTTTGGTAAGTTATTATTGTTTGAATTTATACGTTTATATTGTAATGTGACTTTATATTGTATTGTGATTAGATTTTCAAGAATCATTGACCACGAATGGTATGTGAACGGCGTAGAATTTTACATCCGAACAATTTTTATTATGCGTTTTTACAAGAACTTATTGTATATCAAATCCATGCAAAATGGTATCTGAAGAGGGCTCAATCTGGTAGCCGAAACTTGTAATGTGTTTCTCAATTTATTTAATTAAATGTTATCTTATATTTTATATTCAGACATTTTATATTTGACTCAATCTTTTATGTTTCACCAATTTTCGGACTAATTTTTTGCGTATTGACTCTTACTTCGCCCTTTATTTATTGTTTTTGATTTCTAATATTTATTATTTAAGTATTTATTTTTTACGTATTATTATTATTTATTATTTACGTATGTATTTAGTAACTTACTTCCTTTTCTTGAATTGAGGACGTAAGCTATGGATCTTCTGCAAATGGTTACCAATTGCGCCCGTTGAGCCACCGACACAACTCAATTCATTATTTGTATCGTCACTACATAAATTGCAGTATGCATTATTATCTCTTTTTTCGGCATATTGCCATACCCAACTCTTTCGCTGTTTCCCCATAATGTATGTGTATCAAAGCTGATCACGAAATGAACTAGATTACGCCACATGAAATACTTGTAGCCTTATAAGATAGACGGAGCGAAACTGAATTCATACGAGAGAAACTGAAAACACAATATTGAAGGACATTCAATGTTGTCTTTAGCTTTCCTCGTGTGAACGCTCCGTCTATCTTATAAGTCTATGGAAGTGTCAGGCTGGTATAAACAAAATAAAACTTATTTGTGCCATCGCATACTTCATGTCGCGATTTCATACTTCGTGCGCGCAGCACGCGCCTTTAAAATGTTACCCGTTTACTTGAAATAATATAAGGGCCTTTAGAAAAATTAGACTGTCCAACACGGATTTTAGATCACGAACGGGAGCAAGTGATTCTTATACACAGTTGCAAAAATGTATCTGGAGACACGGTAGTGTCTCGGCGCTAAGCCAAGCGCAGCGACACTGCCGTGCCTCCTTTACGCGAATCTGTCAAGATTTCCAGACGGCGATTATGGGATCTCAATAACGGCTGTCTCGATTGAGTTCTAAGTGTGCTCAATCGATTGCGTCCGCTCGGAATATATAATGAAAGTGTTTTCGTTTTTTCTCTACGTGCTCTACGAGCGGAGATATTGCGATGCAAAATGATGCAAAATCCGAATTGAAACTTTTAATTTAAGAAACGTCGTCGTCGACAGGGCTATGGGGTGGGGGAAATGTCCTTTTGGAATTTTTGACGCAAGAGGCAAATGTGGCGCTGCAATGTGCATGATTACCAGACCCTTGCGCCGCCGTGCCAC